TTGTGTGTCTGCGGTGTTATTGATATGCGTCTTGCCTTTTCTAGTTCCTCTTCTTTCGGCTTCTTGCGGGAGCGGAATGTATGACCAGATTATGATCGTGAATTATGTGGTTCGACTTAGATAAGCAATATGGCATTTCGGCTCATGGCGTTTTCTCGTTTTTCAAGCTTATACCCTTTATACGCTAAGGAGAACGATGCAGGTTTAGGGGGAAGTGGTGTCTTGAGGAGAAATCTTTCATTTGTTGACATTTTCCTGCTACTCGGCCTGTTTCGTTTCCTCCTGGACTTGTTGACTGCGTCGTTCACTTGTATGAGCGTAAAATCTTACACCATCTGCATCTAGTTCAAAAACTTTTGGTGAAAATCAAAAGTCATTGCGCGCGAAGCCTTCAGATATTCTAAAACTAATGAACTGGTCTCAGCCAGAATTGAACTGGTCAGTCCTGTTACAGTTTCTTCCGTCTTCCTCTTAAAATTTCTGATTTTGCTTTTGTATTTAAAAATGAAAATTCAGGATTCAAAAAAAAAAAAAAAATAAAATTCACACGTGTTTATTGTTCCAAAATGATTACCCAAGCAGCCGAGCTATGCAATTTACTCATTACAGATCCGGTTGGTCCCCGTGGAATCAGATGAATATGATGCAACTGCCGATGAAAGTTTTGAACTGTATAAAAATTACCAAAATTCAATTCATAAAGATACGCAGTGTACTCGACGAGGTTTTACAGATTTTTTGACCGACTCGCCTCTTTTCAGTGACGAAGGAAGCGCCGAAAATAAGGTTGGTGTCTATTAGGTAGTTTTTGTTGAATTTAGTCCACTGTGAATGAAAAGCTCTTGCTGTTATTGAAATATAGCTACCAAGTACTAAATGCAACTGTCCGCCTATCAGCTCGTTTTTTTTAAATTGGTGCACGAACTAGTTTTTCACTGACTGCATATTCTTTTCATATCGGATTTTTCTGAACTTATTTATAAAGCAAAAATTTTTGAAGCGAGGTCAAAAAATTTCCCTGTTTTTACGGACTGTGTGTGATAAGCACCTAGTCGAAAATAGCTTTATTTGTGGCGGGTCTCAACAGCATCCGCTTATTAGCAAGGTTGTCGATAGCTTACTCCTTTAACAGTTGCTTATAAGCAAACTAATTATGATTTTGATTCTTCGGCGTGCGCCAGTTCTAGTGTTTCATCGGAACGAATGAAAAATTCGTAGAGGGTCGAAGCGTCCTTCAGTGTTTGATTAGCTCCACCATGCCCGCTTCAGTGATTTTTTTGGAAGTTAACGCTAGAAAAGTTCAGTTTGACAAATCACTGAAGTTTTGAATTACTTTACACTATCACTGATTAAATTGGTCATTTTCATCGCTGTTGTCGTTTAAGTCCGTGGCACTCGGTACTTATCATCAGCAATACTATTTGGATGGCCAGCTGATTGCTGTTGGTGTTGTGGATATTTTGCCGCGCTGCTTATCCAGCAAATATCTTTTTCATGATCCTCAATATAAATTTCTCATGCTTGGAACATATACCGCTTTAAGGTGAGTTCTAGCGTAAAGTAAAGCTTCTTTTGTAAAAGTTTGAAATCATCGAGTAAATTCATGCCAGATGTTATGATAATATAAACTTAGCCTGTGCTGATAAATAAAATTAACCTATAATTAACCGCTTTTCAAACAGTTTGTGCGAATTGCGGCACCCCTTCCACTTCTTTTCGGCGAGACGAAAATAGAAAGGGCGAACGAACGTTATAGTCCCTGGCAGGCTGATCATCCATAGCTGCATTAGTCATAGAGGGATGATTTTGCAGATAGTGATGCTGGTTGACTGTTAGCGGAGAAGAAAAATTGTGTTTTGCTGTTTTTTTTGGAGATTATTAAGGTTGTCCTGGCAGTTATTGTTGGGATCCGATGTTAGTGATGTTCCAAATTTTACTGTAGAGGTCCTTCGGCACGCTTGTCTGAATGTTTTATTGCTGGGTATTCAGAAATTAATTACGGTTGTCAAAAATAGATCTAGGATTTCTTGAAAGTGCCTTCTTTGAAAAAAAAAACTTGCCCTTATCACTGGTTTATTTTAATTATTTTTAAAATAACACAATTTAAGAGTTGTTGCTTTAAGTTCAGTGTCAAACTGTGTGCATGCAGTTTGATATTGGTCCCAAAACAGACAACTCTTTTCTTGAATTATTTGTTTTGAGCTGAAGTAATAGAGTACTGTTGTGAGAAACAGTGATTGGCTGTATCTAATTTCACCAGTGACATAGCTGAGACTTTTTTTCCGGTAGTTTGTGGAAGATACACTGACAGACATTTTTTTGTACAACTAATGCTTCAGTTCTTAATTATACCCCGTATAACACTTGGTAGCGTTTCAGTAATGAACACTGCTAATAATATAATTTTGTGCATATTTTCTCCATGCCTCCCTGTTTGTAATTCAATCTGCATTTTCATTTTTTTAAGCCTTCTTGCTATGAGGCGGTATAGCAGTAGTTCACTACTATTTCTTTCAAATTGTTTTGCTTCTCCGAAAGCTGCAGTTAGCTCATTTTGTGCACCGAATAAGCTTGTTCAGTTTGCGCCCATAGTGCTAGCGGGCTTTCCTGAATAATCAGTTATTTTCCTGATTTCTTTTGGATTTTTAAGTAGACTTGCCAGAGCGCTTTGAACAGCCGAAATTATAAATGCTTTTTTGCATAATGCAGTGGTTGCTTCATGTTTGCAGAAGAATTCGTTTCCCAAACATCGAACAGAGCATTTTCGATCTTTTTTTTGATAAACCACAAATTTTGTCCACAAATTTTTGTTCATTTCAGGGAAATTGCATTTGTTAGAGAACTTATGAAAGAAAGACCGGAGCTGCATTATTACTATATGGGCTACTACATACATTCATGCGCAAAAATGCGTTACAAAGGACGTTTTCATCCATCTGACTTGTTGTGT